AAAAACTCAGGTAAGACTCTGCTAAACTAAGCATGGCTAGAGTACCCAGTTTTGGCAAAACAAAAAGTCAGGTAAGACTCTGCTAAACTAAGCATGGCTAGAGTACCCAGTTTTGGCAAAACAAAGACTCAGGTTAGACTCTGCTAAACTAAGCATGGCTAGAGTACCCAGTTTTGGCAAAACAAAGACTCAGGTTAGACTCTGCTAAACTAAGCATGGCTAGAGTACCCCGAACTGGCAAACACTCTGGCCTCGAGGTAGTGGCAGTCAGCAGCTTAAGAGCACTCCACAGGTAATGAGGCAATGAGCTGCAGGTGTGCAGGGAGACCCAATGAGGACGGGGCACCACCTGGTGGAGGAGAAAAGGAAACACAGAAACAACCCACAAAAAACTGGATTCCTGACAGATGAGAAAAATGTTTGGATGAAAAAAAAACTACAAATGATGAGTAGAATATTGAAATTAAAAATAAAAAAATTATATAAATGAAGTGATGAATTTGAATATATAAGAAGAAACTTTTAATCGTATAAAGAAAGTTGAACTGATGAATAAGGAGGAAAGGTGGGACAGTTCATCCAATATAAAGTCTAAATGATCTACAACAGTGTAGGCTTGGTAAAAAAGGATAGAGCAGGTTAATGCTGTAGGATTGGAGTTAAAAACAAGGATTTTCTACTTATGTTAGAATATAAAGGTGGCTGAGTGGTTAGGGCATTCCGCGTGGAATCCAGAGGTTCTGAGTTCAAGTCCCACTCCCACAGACTGCCACTCTGGGTCCCTGAGTAAGACCTTAACCCCATACTGCTCCTCTGATGCCGCTAAAGGGCTGACCACTGCTCCCAAAGGGATGGGTTAAATGCAGAGAGGGAATTTTATTGCTCTGTACTTTTGACAGTGTAATGACAATAACAAGTTGGAAAAATAAACAGCTTTTGGGCATACTGGAGATGTGACATGGAAAAAATGCAGCAGTTTTTGAATAATTTTAATCCTCAGTATCTGAACTATTGTTCAGTCATAGAAAATATGTAGAATAAACCATAAAGCGTCTTCTTCTCCCTCTTCCTCCAGCTGACACTCCCTCCTTGGTGTCAGAGAGCCCCTAGCATCTATACTACTGCTTCTCCTGGCTCTTCAGCTTGCAGTGCCTACTGCCTGTGCTGCTCTTTATTAAGAAGGAAGACTGATAACAACCAGATCTGGTTAAACTGAAACCGGCTGTAAACTGGCTGAATGACTGGGAGAAATTCCAGTTTGTTTGGTAAACATGTGAGGACTTCAGCTGGTCTCCATGGTGGGACAGCCTGTAACCAGAGAGGCAGAGATGTTTGGAGCCCCTGTCTGATATCAAACTGTGCTTTGAAGCAACGTGTTTTCAATCAGGTCTTAGATAGCCCAGCCTGCACTAGGCTGGGGTTCTCTGAACTCACTGCTTATGAGTTAAAATGGTATACGTTCCTCTGTGTGTGTCTTTGGGTCTGTATTGGTGTCAAGCGGACCCATGACAGACTGGCTGACCCATAAGACTTCAGTTAGAGCAGGTGAAATATGAAACGTGTGGTGAGGAGGTGGAACAGCAGGGCAGGCTGAAGAACTCTAAAGCCTCCAGCTGATTTACCAGGGGAAAAAAATGTGACCTCTCTGCTTCCTGCTCAGACACTGGGAAACATCCAGAAAGAGTTTCCTCTAAACCATGCATCCCCAAAGTCGGTCATTGAAGGCCACTGTCTTGCAGGTTTTTGAGGTCTCCCTGCTTTAGCACAGCTGATTATGATGATTGCTTTTGAGCAAAAGCCTGTTAATCAGCTTTCATTTAAAATCAGCTGTGCTAGAGCAAGAAAGCCTCTAAAACCTGCAGGACAGAGGTCCTCGAGCACTGACTTTGGGGATGCCTGCTCTAAACCATGCAGCTGTTTTGTCTGCCCTGTGTTTTCTACAGATGTGAAGCCATCCAAGGAAACAGTTTCAGTTATTTTCCTTCTTCCTTAATATTGTAAGTTCTTTGGTCGTATCACAGTATCGGAAAATGCTTCAGTGTCATAAACGGGACAGATGGACCCAGTATTCAGGCAAGTCAGACAATGGGAAGTTTCAAAACATTTAATAACAATAATAATAAAATAGAACAGAACGAGACGCGGGCTGCTGAGGATAAGTGATCGCAGAGGCTGCAGGAGGGGGGACAGGGCAGCGCCCAATCACTGACACTCTGACACTGACACTGGAGGGAGAAACACAGGTAAGTGACCACGATCCAAGTGAGTCACTTACCTGGTTTAACAGTTCAGTCATACTCTCTGAGGAAGGCAAGATCCAGCCGATGGAATTCCAAATGAGATGATGCTCAGAGCCGCCCAAAACCAATGCAGCAACCTCAGTGAGCACGCAGGAGACCGATCCAGGTCAGAGAAACAGTTCAGAACCGGAGGGTTCAGAGGTCAAGGAGTCCGCAGCCCAACCAGGGGTTCCGATCCGAACAGGAACAGACAGATCCAGGGTTCTAGGAGTCCTCAAGCGTTCAGGCAGGTCCAGAGTTTCATGAGTCCAGCACCGAGCTCAGACAGAAAGGCTCAGATGCACACAGGCAGGTTCAAGTTGTTGAGGTACCGGAATTACTGCAAAACTTTAAACCAGTCTGGCACCTTGG